CTGATGCCATTTAATTGAAACAAATACAGGGTGGATCAGATTTCAGAATTATATAAAAGAAGTACTAGCTATAGTATGCCTACTAAAAAAATATATATATTTGAAATAAACAAAACAAATATATCACATGAAAAAACACACTCTAATATTCAACATAAAATAAAATTCAATCCCACTGGATGTATTTAAAAATATAAACAGTGTGCATGTTACTTCTATAATGGAATATCAACCCGTATATCTAACGTAACTGTTCAATTTTAAGGAGCGATAGATATATATATACCAACTATGACCAAAGTGAGGTAATCTTCAGTGAAAAACACTGCTCTGGTCATGGACCCACCAACATTTCCGGAAAATGATATTAGGAGGCAAGATAAGTTGAAAATCACTTCGGATTCGAAATCAGGACGTAACCCTGTACCTCGAAAACGAATCAAGTTTAGGACACATATTTATATGACCTTTATTCATCATATTATATCACAAGGAATCATCCCTTGAATTATTTCGGTATTATTTAGATACACCCTGTATAGATCATTCTTCATCCCAATATAGTTATTCAACATTTTTCCCATAGCGAAGTTCAGCAAATACCGATGGCGAGAGCACTATGTTTATTGATTTGATGTCTACCTATAATCGTTGATTGATATATTACGCTTACGCTGTAATATATCAATCAACGCTATAATAGGTATATGTAAAACAAGAAGGCACAACTACTAGTGTTCCGTTTCGAAGTACACAAATTTGACTCCAAAATAATTCAGGCACGCGCCAATATTCATAACGTAGTTACTGCTGCCCGTTTACGTTTCCCCACCGCTCTAAACGATCGGGCGTGTTCGGTGAACACACGGGTATGATCTCGAGACGCTAGTTCATTCTGCATGTTCCTAAAAATTTGGTTTAAGGAAGTTGATGTTGTGTTCTCGTTTTGTGAATTTGCTTGCCAAATCAGAGAATCTGTTTTGGATTGGTTCAACTCTCGTCAGTTCATACAGGAGTACTCTTAGTGGATTATGTAGTGTGTTGTCAGGGTGGCGAATTTTGGTGCCACTTCAGAGGGTGGATGTTTCAGGAGATGTTTCAGCTACTTAAAAGTTTCTGAGGGTGGGTTTTCTATTGCTCATGTATATGATATGAACATATTCTAATATTGGACGGCAAATCATCTTGTATATTTTTGATGGGAATTCAATGTCAATGCTGTTGAAGATCATTGCTCGGAAGCGTTTTCCTCTTGCTTTGCACTGATTTTTTATTTTTTGTGTATGTTTGTTGAAGTTGAGTTTGTTGTCCATTTCAATACCAAGGTAATTTGCTGAATTTTGGCTTCTGAGGGTTTGATTGTTGATTGTGACTGTAGGTAGATTATCTGATGGTCTGTGATGAAATATAACTTGTGATTTTCTTGGATTAGGTTTCAGTCTCGATATTTTGAACTAAGTTCTGGTGCTGTTTATCAGTTACTCTAATTTTTCTGTTGTTGACTTCAGTGATCTATTATGAGAGATCAGAGCTGTGTAGTCTGCTTACTGTAGAATGTAAAGGTCTTCATCAATTTCATTGTTGTTATCTTGGTTGAAGCTGTATACAGGGTGGGGCATTAGTTTGTCCAAGCTTGATTGCTCTAGTTCTATGATAGCTACAAACTTGATTCAAAAACAAATGTCAATGAGGCAACAAGGTCCGTAACTAGAAATTATTGCAGCACATTTTTTTAAGCATTCCTGTGACCTCCATCCACTCCTAATATTGTTGACTATTTCTTGATCATTTCAAAGTTATTATTTTTTTGTTGTTGATAATAATAATAAAAATAATAATAGTTTATTGCTTCTTAAACAAGTTTACAGCAACGGGTGTATGACAAAAAAAAATGGATAATGTGTATGTTTGTACTCTGGAAATGAATAAAAAAAACGATTGAACATTAAAACCTACCAAGTACAAGTATAAATATCAATAGTTATAAAAGAAGAAAATAATACAATTATAGTTTATTCATTTAAAATAAATGATCTTAGCTTAAGGGTATTCCAAATATATTCAGAAATTATTCTAGCATCACTGATTGTTATTTTTTGTAAGGCAATAATTAATGATTCCAAATTCCTTAGACATGGAGCTCCTTGTTTCATGACAGTGTAGATCGGAGAGTCAAAAATAATATGGAGGAGAGTTTCATTTTCGTTCCTGTTGCAAACTGGACAAATTTGATCAGGGTCAATGGAGTAGGCAATTCCGTTTAGGGTGAATTTAATTTTAAAGTGATTGGCCATACGTAGTTGGGCAAGAGTGCGGTTGATTTGGATGGGTAATTTCAATAGTAAATAAGTGCTTGGTACCCTGGAAGTTCCAAGCAGATTGTAAATATACATAAAAGGGTAACGGGAAGATATTGAACGATCTGAGTCATGTAAGAATGTATAATATTTAGCATATAAAGTATTTCTATGTTTGGATAAATTATTATAATTCAGATCATTCCATAATAGCAAGGAGTCAGAATCAACAAAAAAATTTTTCATTTGCAAAAGCCAATTATATTTAGGGTCCGCGTAATTTATAATACGCCTTTGCTGTTCAAAACAAAGCCTTGGGTATCGATGTTTCTCCATCGACAGTATTTTGCAAATCCAGCTCACGGATATTTTAAGCACATTATAAGCAAGTTTCACCCTCCCAGTTTCTAAGCGAACAATGGCATCGGGTGTATTGGTGGAAACTAAAAGAATTCTTTCAAGAAAGGATATTTGAACTCTTTCAAGCACTTCAAAATATCTGAGGCCCCAAACTGGCACGCAGTTATACATAACACTCAAAGTTAATGATTCGAATAACTTTAACCTTGGTGGCCAGGTATCATTTTAGCCTTAGACAAAATAGAACCAATAGCTTGTTTGCCTTTATTGGTGTTGGTCAAAGTGGACATTTCATGAAAGAGACCAGATGATGTGAAAGTTACTCCTAAATAATTATATTTATTGGTGACTTCTACTACATGGCTGGCAAAGTGAAATTTTGGGTTTGGTTTTTGAAACCCACCTCTAGAAAATTGCATTATTTTAGTTTTCTTAAGGTTGACAGTTAAGTCGTTTTCTGTAGTGTATTTTTCCAGAATTTTGAGTTTCCTAACAACATCGATTTCAGAATGAGCCAAGATAACGAGATCATCAGCATACATCAATGTTAAAACGTCATTCTTATCATCTATGATGACACCTTGCACTCCATTTCCATAAAAAAAGGTTTCTATATCCGCTATAAATAGTGCGAATAACAGGGGGACTTAATGGTTCACCTTGTAACACACCTGTTGTAACTTCATATTGTTTCGTGAATCCGTTAGAGCCTCTAATCTGAACAGTTGCCTGTGAATATAAGTTCTTCAATAAACGAATGATATTTGATGATAATCCTAAATTGAATAGTTTTATCCAGAGTAAGCTGTGGTTTATAGAATCGAAGGCTCTCTTGAAGTCAAGGAATATAGCATTATATTATATATGATAGAAGTCAAGGTGTAGACATTGTCAATACATCCTCTGGTCGAGCGAGAACCTGACTGAGATTCCGGCAATATATTGCAGTCATCTACCCAGCAAGTTAATCTTGTGAGAATAGCGCACAGTTTAACAACGCCAATCCTCTGAAGTTATCCGGGGAATTTGCCGGGCCACCCTTATGTAACATAGAGAGTGTTATGGTAGACCATGCATTCGGGATTATTGTAGATTCAAAAATGGTATTAAATAAAGAAGTTAAATACAGTACCCAGTTAATGTGGTAGATTTTTCTAGAACTCATAAGATATACCATCTGATCCAGGAGACTTCCTGTCTTTACTTTTATTAAGGACGGAATAGATCTCAGCAGTAGTGAAAGGAGCGTCAAGGAAAGTATGACTAACATCTACAAAGTCGCAAAGTTCACCATGGAAATTATCCTAGGTGGATATATGTTCTCGTAAAAGTTCTCCCAGTCGTGGACCCAGTCGTGGACGGATAAGTTTTTATGGTTGAAATTATTGCAGAAGTGTTTAACAGTAAGCCAGAATTCTTTGGAATTAGTTGAATTCGAGGTTGAATTTGACAACTTGGTAATAATTCCCGATTCATAGTGTGTTTTCTTCATTTTAATAATTTTTTTATATTCAGACTTCGATGTTACATATTCAGTTTTCAAGTCAAAAGGAAAATTTTCGAGTTTGCAGGCTCTCAGCAGTTTCTGCATATATTTTTTAGCAGCAGCACAGTCAGTATCAAACCAGTTGAAAACACTGTAATCACAATTATGAAGTTTAAGAGATAATAATCATAATATCATTTGATGGAAAGTTGTGTGATATATCTGTAGAATTTTCATGCCCTCAAATTATACACCAGGGCTAAAAATGATTTTTCAATTCGGAACTTTTGGAAGTGATTTTTCTCCAGTTTTTCAAATGGAACACCCCATGTGTGAAATTGAAACATGAACATCTTTCATCTCAACATCCATATTGATATTTGTAACCATTTTTGAATTATTGTCTTCTGAACAATCTGAACCTCATTATCATTTCCTAGCTTGCAAATTATGACATTAGTCAATTTTGAAAAAAAAAAGATAGCTGATTCACCCTGTACAAGTCGCTGGACCTATTTGGAAGTAATTATACCATGTATCATTATAAAAGTCTGATGTGATTATGTGAAGTATGAAAAAAAAGTATGTTGTATATTGATGCAATTTCTATTAAAGTAGAAGTCATATATGTATTAATCAATGACGGCTAAATGGACTGTCTGACGGGTTATTTGTTCATTGTACTCAACTTAATTACTGTTAGTACAGAGGTTAGTACCATTATAAACATCACTCAAAAGATGATTGAATAGTAATCAGAATCAAGATCATAGGTATGTAATATCAAGTAATGTATAATATATTAAGGGTTTATTGTTTATTCAATTTATAATATTAATATTTTGAAATATAATTACCTGCACAAGAATTTGAGGAATCAGAAACATCATCATTGACATAACATGGAAACAGCCCAGATGATATTTTGTTGAGAGTAGGAATAGCTGTTTTATTTAACCTTCTTCGAACTCCTGCTTCACATGTATTCCTCATTCCATGGGAAAAATCTTGCACAGAGAAATGTTCTGAACACAAAAGTAATGAGGAAAGATGTACATCGATTTTATTATTCAGATTACAGAACTTTATCCATTCTGATCTGATAGCAGCATCTTTGGGAAATCTAAAAAAATATTATTGTGTAGTAGATAGGAATTATACTGAGGTATTGTCTATCTTACCTGTGATAAGATATATTAGATTCTTTACTTTTACAAAGAAAGCAACTTTTCATTTGAGATGGCATTTTAAGGAGGAGAACTTATTAAAAATTAGAACTATAGGTACCTGAAAAATGGTAATAACTTCTAAAAATCAGCAAGAGGACAAAATTAACAAAGAAATATCAACCGTGATTATGCAATGAAATGAAAACTTAAATGATAATACTTATCTACAGTTATTCCAGAAGAAGGAAAAAACAAGAACAATATAATATTAATAGGAATTCAACTATGAAAATACTTTACAGATACTGCTTTGATTGAAAGGCTAGTAAACGGTAAACGTCATTGTCCACCGAAACCGAAACGCATGTCTTTGATGACTACTATAATAGCGCATGCGTATCATGCCACCAAATCCTTATGGATATTCCAAATATTCTTTGGATATTCATTTGTTTCATATTTTTGGCTTCATCCTGGCACCCGTTAAATACGTATATGGTAGAAGTAGAAAGTAATTGATTCATGAAAGAATGGCCGCCCGCCACTGGTATGGTCTGTCGGGTAAGTTCGGAAATTTTAGCAGCCAGCTTTGGCAGCCACAATCACATTGGTGGTAACTGGTGATTAGAAGCAAAGAATTTAGAAGTTTAGAATAGACAGCTGTGAAAACAAGAACGTCAAAAGTCAAAATACTCAAAATATAAAAAAAAAACTTAAAATATACTATTATGGAAAATCATACTGAAATTTTCGCCCTGAATTTATAAGATTTTACACAAATTTTACGTCTTATTATATTATATATCATAATGTGTACAATAAACAGGACTGGTGGAAGACTTTTTGGCCCAGAAGGGTGTCAAGTCCCTATTGGAAAAGGAATATGTGGTGAAACTAGGACATTAGACATTATCAATGAATTCAAGAGATTATATGAAGAAAAAATGAAAGAAATTGATAATAATGGTGGTGGAGACAGCCTTCAGGTGATTATTTATCAGATAAACAGTGTGGTTCATGTTTGAGTGCATGCAGTTTGATATTGAAACAAAATTTGAACCTGAGATTGAACCAGAGATTTGAGTGAATTTATAGATTCTTAGAATCTGGTTGAACACCTTATTAGATGGCGGAAATTTTGAATTTTCAGGAGAAGATTAAGCTTCAACAAGATTGGATTGGAGATCTTACTGATCAAAATGAAATGCTTGTTAGAGCTGTTGAAGAACTTGAAGTTGAAGCTACAGAACGGGTGCACATGTTGGAAGAAAAGTTACAACAAAGTGCAAAATGCATTGGTGAGGTAAGGTCACCCATTCCAGTAAAACATTAATGAAGTCTCTCCGATATCCGATTTTTTATAATTCTTGTACTTTGGGTGGAAAAAGGGGTCTCACCCCAAATTTTATTTTGATCTCTATATTTTTTTTAATTGTATTTATTTCAATGTCACCCTGTATACAGATTATTAAGTACCCTGGAAGGAATACATTCTTTATATGTAGAATAGTACCACCATTGATATGTTGAAAAAGTCATGATTTTTGTTCTTCAATTTTTATATGAGGCATTCTGTGGGGTGAATTTTTGCCCAGAAAGGTATTGTGTCATGTGCAGATTATTGAATAAAAAACTCCTGTCCTCTTACATTTTGAAATAGTGATGATTTTTTTCTTTAGTTTTCATAAAAGGGGTCCTGTGGGGTCAATTTTTCCCCCACAAAATATTGTGACATACAGAGTGACCAACTTGAAAGTGGAACACCTCATTTAAATTTGTATTAATTCACTGATTTCGCCGATTTTTTTTTAATTGTGGAGTTTGAAAGACTACAAAACTTTTTTTTCTACAAAAACCAAGGCATCCTGTGTACATTTTGAGGGGTTGAAATTCAAAAAATCAAATTGGCCATCTCATGGCCATCATGTTTATTTATTTACTTATTTATTTATTGAAAATTTGACTTCCAGTCAGAATCAAGTTCTGGTATAAGGAAGTATAGATAACAATATTACCTAAAACTATAGAATTATAATAAACTCATAAATAATATAATATTTCAAAACATTAAGTATTAAATTTTGACAAATCATTTCATATTGGTGAGCAACAATCAATTTGAATATGAATCAAAAGTTGAAAAAAAAAATTAATCATCTATTTCATTCAGAAATGATAATTTTTTCAAGTGGGTGTTTGAATTTTATTGTATTTCTGCAATTTTTTATATTATCTGGTAATTTGTTATATTTGAAAAGAGCTGCATGGGTGAATCTTTTTTGGCCTTTAGAAGAATTAGAGATATCAAGATGAAATAAACCATGTTGTCTAGTTTGGTAATTATGAATTTCATTGTTTCATGTTTAAATGAAATTGGATTTCAATCTTTTATTTATGATATTGTATGTAATTTTCAGTCTTTCAATTTTGAACATTTCTTCTAATGAGAATGATTCAGTTGTACATAACAAATTGATTTGCTCACCACTATGAAATAATGTTACTTAGATATTTTCAATATTCATGTAGGACTATACATACCCATTCTCTGGTAGGAAGCTATTCAATTTAGGCAAGGAATGCACTAATTCTTCTTGAATTATCATTGCCATTATTAATGAAAAAACTGATGTGGTGGAATTGACAACTTTCAAGCACCCCACTGAGAAGTCATACCACTAAATCTGTAGGACTATGTAACCATTTTATTATAACAATATTTACAAAGCTGCATACAAAAACGCAGCTAGCTATTAAAAATTTTTATTACCTCTTTTCTTCCACATATTCAGGGTGGAGGATGCTCCAAACAAGTTATCCCTTTTGTAGGACTATTTTTGTTTGGAGTCCATGATACATTTATCTTAACATTTCAATAAAAAACTGACTGTTAGACAATTTCAATACTTTACCAAATCGTCATGTTTTACAGCTGCTCAGTATAGGTTCCATGTGAGTGGGGCGAACACCTCCCCTCCACTGCGACCCCACATGGGTCTATTGTGGCTCACCCCTAGAGGTTACAGTTCACCGTACAATCCACATCTTTTTACAAAGTTCATGGTTGAATTGGGTGAGATTTGTCTGAAATCGATAGGTTCTAGGTTGGTAAAGCCAAATGTGTCGAACCTTAGTCTTTCTAAGCTAGAGCATGAACATAATATGTGTTCAGCCGTTTCGTCTTCCACACAACAGAACCGACAGTCCGTTTGTTGGTTCAGACCCATCCTTCCCAGGTGGTATCTTAGACGACAGTGTCCTGTAAGCAGTCCAGTCAGAATTCGCAGGTTACCCCTGCTCCATTCTAGGATCTGGCTGGTTATTTTTTCCGATGGTTTAGGCAGGAACGCCTTCGAATGGGTTAATCCTGGTAATTCGGACCAGTACGTGAGTGTTTTTCCCTCCGCCCAGCCCGAGATAGTTGTTTTCGCCGAACTTGCGGTGACCCCAAAATATGGTTCTGGTCCTATGAACACAGATTCGGTTCCCTGTTTGGCGAGGATGTCGGCTTTCTCGTTACCCTCCACCCCCTGGTGTCCAGGCACCCACAGCAAAGTTGCTGCTCAGTATATTAGCTACCTCTATTGAAAATTTTCACAGCGGAAAAACTTTGAGCGACTCGTTGAATGGAACATTCTCATGAAGATTCAGTCTGTTATTGATCACTGAAAAAAACAGGCGGTGGATCCTGGACTGATAAGAGGACCAAGTTTATTTCCTGAGGTTTCTAAATATTTTTTCTCCTTGTCTCTTTGAATGAAAATCGGAGTACCTATCATTTCAATATATTTGTAGTAAGGAAAAACAATAGTAAATGATTTCTCTTCCAGATTTATGGAAGTAAAATCTTTTAAATATAGTGACATTTTTGGTATCTTATTTGTCTTGTCACTCCAGATATATTGAAAAAAACACTTACATTTTAATTTTTAGAAACTAGGAGAGGAAACTTTGAAAAACTGAATTAAAAAAATTCCAAATAAATATGAATAATGAAAAAAATATCTCAGTGAGGTTGAAGTAATGTGAATTATTTGTTGAGTAGTGTTAACGATTTTTATCAAGCAATGGATACTGACTAATTTCTCAATGTAGAATATTAACTTGGCTAAACTTTTGTAAGGAGTGTTTATAATTTTTTCAATACTAAGATAGGTCCCTTGGACGGTAACCATTATTCTCATGATGGGCCCCATTTCATCTGTTATCACTTTGATGAACAAGTGTTGGGATCCCCCATAAAGCCCCTTTGGGCCTTGGGCCATTTGCCCTTCATTTTTATTATTATCATAATTTAAATTGTATCATGCAATAATTTTATTAACTTCTCCTTTTTTCATTTCTACGTGAGTATACATAACCTAAACATAACATTTGTAACTATATAAAAAACCTTTCTTTGTAGAAAATTGTCAATTAAAATATGCTGCTGATGATGGACTATTGATAGTCCGAAACATGTACAGATACTGATTACTCAGTCAATAAATTTGTGAAGATGACTTTGTGTGTCTTGTTTATAAATCTAATAGGGTTTCTTGGATTTCAACCTCTAATAATACACGCATCAGGCCTTGGTTTTTGTAGAAAAATAATATGTTCCATACCAAAGTATAGGTTTTCAAGCTCCACAATTCAAAAAAGTTCCTCGAAACTCGAAATTGTTAAATTAATACGAATTTTATTGAGGTGTCACGCTCTCAAGTGGGTCACAGTGAATACACATTATTGAGTTACCTCAGCAGAATACATCCATAGAAAGGAACTCTCATCCACTCATATTATAAAAAAAGTGTAAATTTTTTCTTCAAATTTAAAAAGCGGTCCTGTGAAGTTGATTTTTGCGGGACAAAATGTTGTGTCGAATACCCTTACAAGAAGGTTTCATCCAAAGACATATTCAGGAGGTTTTAGTGATTAGTAATTTCATGGCCAGCCACAAGTTTAAATTAGTCATAGAAATCTACCAGTAATCGGTAGATTTGCATACCCTTGAAAATTTGACAGAGTCATGGTTGTTTTCACGCTGATCCATGTAGTATGTTAATTTTGATTTTGTAAAAATTTAAAAAGGATTGAATAGGGCCTGTCATATTCAAACCGTTCACGGACTTTTTGAAAAGTCTCTGGAATATCAGTTGTAATTGTGGTCACAAAACAATGGAGACCATTTTGAACAATTCTTGAAGTAATTAGTTAGGTCTATATATAATTTTTTCATCATAATGATAAATTACAATAAAAAAATTCGTGGGGTGGGTTGAGTACTTGAAGAAAAAACATTGAATATAGATGTAACTTATCTGGAATCACATAAGACTTTTAAAAACAGCAAAATAAGTGGGGGTACCAGTTGCCCTGACGGTGAAGGGGTTGAATGTAGTACAAGGTGTTTCACGGTGGATGAAACATTAGAAGTATCTGGAGAATCGAATGACAGATCATTACGTACGGCAACGTCGCAAGTCAGACAATACTAACATTTCTCGGGCTCAACCAAAAAGTGCATTTATCCTACAACAGAGCACTAAACAATCACTGAGTAACTTAAGAGGAATAGGTATAGGTGAGAAACTACCTCAACTACTTAAGCTTGAATCTGGAATAGATAACCCTGGGCCATTGATGAATTATCACAATTCATAACGTGGGTGGATACTATCAATACAAACCAGTGGCCACCAACATGTCCAACTGCGGAACCTGTAGCTCAAGCTAAGATACCTTGTAAATGTTGTTCCAAGTTATTCTATGCAAGCTGTGTTGATGTTGCAGAGGATAAACTATCATCGCTCAACGCAGGCTACTGCTTATTTATATATAAAGCATGTAACAACAAAAAGATTGGAATGATAACACTAATAGCGACTAACTATGACATAGCCACAAAAATATCTTGAGAAATTGGAGCTACACGATAGTGAAATCAATACAATTTATGTTTAGTACGAAAAATGTGAGTAACACTAGATCTTTGAATTTAGCCTTGAGAAATATTCTCAATATTAGTAAGGTCACTAATCTGATAGTAGTGTCTGAATGTAGTGTCCCATCTGATCAAATTATTAATAAGTTCATAACCAATTACATCAGACGGTCCACTCGATTTAACAGAAATTGCTCAATAACATTTGTAAAGGACCCAAAACTAAAAAATAGCAATAATACGAGATTGTTAGTCAAATAAAAGCTCAAATCATGTCACGAAAACTTACAAACATTGTATTAAAATCAGTACAAACAATTGATGATGATAGTTTGCTATTAACTACACATAACGAATGCACCATAGATCTATCTGAC